CTGGAACCAACTTCCAAGGGAAGTGGTGCTGGCTCCTACCCTGGGGATCTTTAAGAGGCGGCTTGATGCCTACCTGGCTGGACTCATTTGAGTCCAGTTTTTCTCCCGCCCAGGCGGGGGGTCGGACTTGAAGATCTACAAGGTCCCTTCTGACCTGACTTCTATGATTCTATGATAAAGTGAGGAATCCGAGCTCACCAAATAAAATAAAAGCATAGTTTAGGAACAGGACTCTGGTGTTCCCAATTTCCAACCCAGTGAGAGCTTTTCCTCTGGGTGATGCCTGGACTTCATTTTGACGTGCGCTGAAACCCACAGGCACTCTGTCACTGGAGGAGGAAATCAGTACTTCCATTCCAGTGCCTACTTCCTGCTATGGCACCATCACCCTCTCCCCTTCTGTTCTTTCATTGCACCATGTTCATCTGATACAAGTCACTGTGCTGAAGGAGTCTCTCAACCATTAGCAATAGCTGTGATTATTCCCTCTTAGGCACCATGATCTGAGCAGAGTTCATAAGCTTTTCCATTTTTTAAACAAATGACACTGCAGATCATCCTTACTCTGCTTCTCTATTCCAGGTAACTTTTTACTTTAAACCAGTGGTTTTTCACCAGTGGTCCGTGGACCCCTGGGAGTCTGCAGACTACGTCAAATGATGATGATGCTCAATCAGAAGCATCTGAATAGCCACGCTTACAATTCAAAAGGATCCGCACCTCCATTTGAAATTTCCAAAGGGGTCTGGCATCTCAATACAAAATTTTTTAGGGGTCTGGCAAATTGGAAAAAAAAAAAAAAAAAGAGGTTAAAACCACTGCTTTAAACTTTCTATTTCCAATCATTGATTAGGGCCTACAACAGATATACAGATCAGTATCTTGTTCTATACAGGCGATATGCCTTTGGAGATGTAGTCACACTGTACTGGCAGAGGCTCCAGGATAAAAAGGCAGATTTCAATAGGTGTTGTACATGCCCATGCAACTCTGTAGGCCATCCCATGAATGAGCTACTTCTTCTAGTATTTTTCCTTCTGGATTGTCAACCCCATTACATAACTCTCCCACTGAATAAGGATTATATCAGACTATGCATTAGAGAGGTTTTAAGAATAGTGAGGTAAGGAAAAAAAGCTATGAAAGAAAATGATTATTTCTAGAAGTTACTAATGGCATTTCCAGTATTACGGCATGAAGCAGAGGGAAGGGGAGCATCTGTGCAGTGCACTGTGCGCAGCCTGTACAGCATAGTGCCCCCAGCTCAGAAGTTGGATAGCCCTGCATTAAAAGACAACATTTACATTTTAATTAGATGAATGCCAAAATTTGCAGAGCAAAAGGGGACCGAGTTTTTTTAAAGTGATACAAATTGAAAGAATCTTAAACAGAAAGATTATTTTATTAGTCATGATAACACGATACAAGATAACAAGTCTCAAGAGGTCTTCAAAAACTCAACACCCACCCCACCATTTCGAAGTTACTGTAAGGTTTAAATAAGGCTACAAATGTTTGAAATGCAAAGTTTGTACAATGCTTGCATACTATTACTTTATGAGCTGAATTATCTGCATTCAGGGCTTAATAAAATGTAAACAAGGTGATGAACAAGCTGGGTTACTTGCAGAAGCTAGAGGCAAACTTAGCTTATTACCATCTCCTTTGGCAATATTTCAAAGTTTACTGTGATGTTTTCACAAATATTTATACAACAGAAAAAAAACCTCACCAACTGTTCACTAGGGCAATTGTAAACTCAGTAGAATTCTTACTATTCAAAACAGGACATCTCCTAAATATTTCAAAACTAACGTAGTCACTCTGAGAATTGCTTCCTTTGTACTAGATAAAATAACGTGGAACCAAATCATACCCTTACATCAAGACAAAGCTGTGGAGAAACCCACACTGATCAAATATAAAGATATAAACTAATAGATAATTCAGACTGTTTCATAAATGAACTCGAGAGACAGAAAGCAAGGATTATGCATTTTCAAGCAGTAGAAGGACTGGTGGTCCAAGCACAGCCAAGTGTTATGAGACCTGGGTTCTACCCCTAATTCTGCCACAGACTGCCTGTGTAACCTTGGACAAGTCACCTCTATGACTCAGTTTCCTAATCTGTAAAATGGAAATAATCCTGACCTTCCATTTCCAAAGAGTGATAGATCATCTTTATGTTAAAAAGTGCTGTACCAGTGCAAAGTATTACTGGTTCTCTCGCATTTGAGAAGTTAAGATATTTAGATTTAACTCCTTAAGAAGGTATCTAGATTAAAGAAATTCTCCTCTACTTCCACCAAGGTCTACAGAGAAAATTAGCCCTCAGATGCATGTTCACAGCTTTTACTGAACTCAGCAAGAGCTAGTACAGATAGGCTTATGGCCAAGCAATGTTGCTCCCTTGCTCCTTATGCTGAAATATGGGAAACAATTTCTTTTCCCGCTAAGAAAACCTTTCAGTTTATCTCCAAACATGTACTGGGACAGCTTTCTTGAAAAGAAGTGGAACTTTATGGTGACAATTAACAGATCTACCATACCAGCTTTGGTTTAAATAACTTGATTTTTGTGATTTTTTTCTATTTTCTTAAATGTAAAGAGTTAGATGTGCAACACAGTAATCTTCTGACTTCCAAAGAAAGTTTTACACATTAATTTTTTAATCTCAGATTCTGGCACTATATAAAAACAGAAGCCAATTTTTATAAGAGGAAAAGTGAACTTTAAGTAGCAATAGGTAACATACAGAAATTTCCTATTTCTGTTACTGCACAAGTTAACGTTGCTAAAACACAGACCACTAAATAGGCTGGACCATGCAAGTATGCCAGAAGTGTAGGCAGGGATAGTGTGTGGTATGTTTTCTCCACATCTCAAACCAACAAAGAATGCTATACAAATAATACAGAAGGCTGACAATCTGGATATAACAAGTATTTGAGTCATTTCATACCTTCTGAACAGTAACTTATATACACTGAGAATTGTTGTTAGTGAAAGTGTGAAACTAAAACAACAGGACTATACTAACTGGTCTTGGGAGTAGTATGAACTTGCGAGTAACTCTTTTCTTATTGATCATACTAAACTGTTCGAAGTAAATAGTAGTACAAACATGATTGATTAAGGCAACAAGCTTTACTCATAATTTCTAGGAGTGAAACAAACTGGTGGGCACCTTGATGCAAACAAAGCATTGTGATGCACAGTTTGTCTTACCTCCTACAGATTGGTTGCAATGCTTGTGAGAAGTCTTGTGCAGTATTGTCAAAAGTTTACATCTCTAAAAGTAGATGTACAGGAGCAAAGGCAATGCAAAGTTTTCCAAAGACTGAAGCAAGCTCTAAAGTTAAGATGGAAATTCAATCTCTGTTGATTGACCCCTTGATTTATGTGCAGAGACTATCAATAATGGTACCAATTTTTGAAACATAGGCGTTCTTTCTAATAAAGATAGTAAATACTATGCACTGGTACAATATCCAAGTATGATCAGGAACTTAATGTATCTTTATTTTATGGACTGGGAAACAGATGAAGAACGTAGCAACTTATCTAGATTCAGGAGTGAAGTCCAGCACAGAACCCATGAGTCTGGACTCTCATTTCCTTGCTTTTAAGCACTAAACCACTAGCTGAAAAGTTGGGTTGAATTTAATGATCCCAAACGCTCATTCATCTCTCACAGAAGCCTCAGAAAGTTGTGGTTATTCACATTACAAACACACTGGTGGCAAATGAAAGAGGAAAATTAAGGCTGGAAATAAATTTCACCTAAGTTAGAACGAAAATATTCAATAAACTAAAAGGGAAAAATTGATATCTGTACAGTTATTCTTCATGATAGTCAACCGACATAAGATTTCACATGAAATTTTGTTTTCACACTCAGATATTAAATACCTGCTATACATAAAAAGTAAAAATAAATTTGCATTTCAGAATGCATGTGCTGTAAGTTGTAGTAATTTTTTTAGGCAGCTGTTTCTTTAACAATTCAAAGGAATCACAGCACTGAAACTTCATGCTGCAACTTGGCTCTGGTGTACATGTTCACAGTAATATTCCATGTGTTTGAGTATATTTAGACAACACTTAATAGGAAATTAAACACCTGAATGCAAGTACTGTTCTAGGAACGAGAACAGCAAGAAGCATCAGCTTTATCAATACTGCCAACATAACGCATCTATATAAGCACATCAGCATACATCAAGTCAGGCAGACTTTGCGTTTAACATTTTTTCCATTTCACTAAAGCCATCTTGATCCACACATTTATTTAAAAGGAAGAGGAGTATCTGCTCATGTTTTTCAATCTGTGGAAGAAAGAGAAAGAATTAGTAATTAGGTTTCCGTATAAAAAGTGTTTGTTTTTTTTTAAACTTGCACTTAATACAACTCCAAATACTACAGAAGCATCCAAGGTCCTATGCCAATTTAGAAGATGTACAAATCACCTCTCCTTATTTGTCAGTGGTTTTATTCTGTTGCATGAAACAGAACTGCATTGAGTTTGACTAATCCTCAATTTTTAGGGGAATATACACACTCAAAAATGATTAAACAAGATGCTGAAATGAGTGGTGATGTCAGGAGGTCAACAGGCCAGACCAGTGGGCAATAAAGGTATCCCTGTCAATAAACGTCATCTGCCCCAACACAGGCCTGGGCCAGGACTACCTAACTCCAAGTAACTTCTGGAAACCCTCTGTTCCTCCTCCACCCCACCCCTTTCTACCTTGGCGGATTCAGACTTCTACACTCATCCATTCCTACTACCACAGTGGCTCCCAAACTTTTTTTGCTGCAACCCCAAATTGGCTATCAACAGGACTTCTTGACCCAGAGCCGCAGGGGCTGCTGGGAACAGAGTGTGGCAGCCCGGGGTAGCCACCATTGCCCCCTTTGTACACAGTGGCCCTGCCCCACCCACCACTCCCAGGCCACATGCAAGTGTGCGTGTGTGGGCCTGTCATGACCCTACTGAGGACACCACCCCCCTCCCTGCAACCCTGATTTGGGTCATGCCCCAAGGCTGGGAACCAATGTACTACTACCACACTGGAACTGAAGAAGTTCAGTTAAGAGACTGCATAGAAAGATTTCTCACTGCTACTGATCTAAATACTATTGGGAGAAAAGGACTGTAGTGGAAGATAGACGAGCAAGTTCAGTAACAAGAGAGCTTTCCCATGCATCAGATTTTAAAATTCCTAGCATCTGCACTCTTAGAGTTTCCCTAGCTTCTACAACAACTGCTTTTTATTAGAGAGACTCTTACTCCCTTATTTCTCAAGTTACCAAAGCAGTTGAGAATTTCTGAACACCAGTGCAGCTGGCCCTGCCTCTTGCAGAAAGTTCAAAATTCCTTGCAAATATGAAGGTTCCCCTACAACTGGAAAGCAGTATATATAGACGCTGTTGCATTAACGTAATATTGTTTATTAAATACCATACGTTTTCTTGTTAACCAGCAATGATCTTTGCTTTTCTGGGCAAATCTGGGCATCTGTCCAAGCACTTTTGGAAATCAATCTTTTTTGCAATTTAAACTTGAGCTCTTATTTCTACTGTTATTTGCAAAGCTGTCAAGAAACAGAGCTAAACTTGAAGAAAAACTGTTCAGAGTCATGGTTCTATAGCTTGCATGTGTAAAAATGCCCCAAAATGACCAGAAAAACTTTGGTCATCTATCTAAAGTACGTACCAAAATGTAATGCCTCATTTGTCATCCACCACCACTGAGAACAGGCTAGCTGCATCCTCTTTCTAACCTACCATTTAGGTAGTTGAAGGCTACTGTTAAATCCTTTCTCACTCTTCCCTTCTCCAGACTCAGTAAGCCCAGTTTCTCAGCCTCTCCTCATAAGTCATGTTCCCTAGACCTCTAACCATTTTCATTGCCCTCTGTTGGAATCTCTCCAATTTGTCCACATGCTTTCTGTAGTTAAGGGCCCGAAATTGGATACAATACTCCATTTATGGCTTCACTGGTGCCAAATAGAGGGGGAGAATTACTTCCCTTGATCTGCTAGTACTAATGCAGCCCAACATGCCATTATCCTGCTTGGCAACAAGGGTGCACTGTTGGCTCATATCCATCTTATTGTCCACTGTAAACCCCCCACTCCTTTTCTGCAGCCGGTGCATGGGATTGTTCCATCCTAAGTGCAGGACTTT